GGAATCGAACCCGAGACCCCTTGCCGTCGCAATTGCGACCAATCAATCAATCAGCCAATGAGGTCTTTGCAAAGTAGTACATACAATAATATTGAGTTCCATATTTTAGGATTTAATTTTACTTTTAAATAATTTTGTGTCACGTCTACTTACAATTTTATAATTTGTCTACATTTTTTTCTGTTATTGGTTGGTGCTTCATATAATACTTTTCAAAAATACGAGATAGAACGTAGAACAAACCCCCTACCAGAATCACAAAACAGCAACTCAATTTAATGTTTAAAAGCCCTTTATTACTAAACAATTCAAGGAAAACAGCCCTAATGACAATATTCATTATTCAAATAAACCACGGCAACTAAGGGTCAAGCTAACCTCAAATATTGGGCCTCGAGCTTGCAGGTCGAAATATTTCCGGGTGAATAGTCACATTATTTACATAATCCCTGGGATTTCATACTGCCGGCCTTGCTCGAGCTCAGTGCAGACCAAACGTTAAAACCCTCTTGTGTTTGTGTAATTACATACAAATAATAGCCGTGGATATGTTAAATGTGGTGTGAGGTCCTCTTTTGTTTGGCTCTTTTCTGACCAAAAGACATTGAGAATTGCAAAGTGTCTCTACTTTAGAGATGTCTAACATATTTTCATCTGATTGTGCGTATGCACAGAAAGCACTGGAGTGATTTTCAAATAGTGAAAGGTACAAATATATTTTGGCCCTTATTTTCAATTTTGCCTACGATCATCTCAATTTCTTCTTATCTCCACTTCGAATTCCGCCATGATATAAACAGTAGATTCCAAAATACTTCCTTATTTTCCGAACACATTTCAAAGTCGATTTTCTCTATTAAATTTCTAAACAATAAACGATAAAATGTTAAGTCACCAATTCTATAGCTCGTTCAATTTGTTTCGCTTTGATTCTCGTCCGATGAACAAAACAATATGGCCACGAAAGTTGGCCCATCGCTATTCACAGCACGTATTTGTTACGCGAGGAAAGCAAACTGATCGCCAATATCGCATTTCAAGGTTCCATATCAAATCTTTACAAGCCATGGTTTGGGAAAACTAAAATATGGTTATCTCTCACTAAAGAGGTGAAAGGGAAAGGAATGGATTTATTTTTGGACAAAGAAACTAGTTTTTATGAGCAAAGAGTATTTTATGAGAGGAAATATGAAGTTTTTATTTGATGCGTAAATAATGAGATATTAATTGAAAGAGCACTGTAGAAAGGTAACATTCAAATCAAAAAATAGAAAAGACCAAAATCTTTGACTCAATAATGAGATAATTTTTGATAACCACAGGAGGAACAAAACAGTCACGTCTATACGTATTTTTAAATTCAGTCAGCATAGAATCTGAGTAAACAGCTTACTTTTTCTTATTCATTTGAATCCATTCCGATACTGTGGGGAAGTTTATAAAGTTTCACAGTTCGCAGAGGAAGCTCACATTTATTTTTATATTATCCGTTGCACATGACATTTTTAAATCGAAAATGGTTTACCAAAGAAACTGGGGTGTCTTATTTTATTATGACTGTATAACGTAATAGCACTGTTTGTTCATCTTATGTATTTTTTGTAATACAAAGATATTGCCAAAAACTAACTCTGTACTTATTTCAAGAGAGTTGTTTTCCTGGTCCTATAAAAAGAACTTTTACCTGTGTGCTGTGACTGTCACAGAACTCCGAAAATAACCTAAAAATCTAATTTTACAATTGATAAAACTACTGGACTACTAAAAATTAGTTGGCAGTAAACCAATAGTACGTCTGCCTTATCCAAAAAGCCAAACTAAATCCAAATACTTTATGGATTCCTGCGTAAAATTTTGTTCAACGAATACCAAACTGGAGTAAAAACGCGTACAAAAACTGCTAGCGTTTAGGGATAGTGGGTGTACGATTCAGTATTGTGGTATATCAGACAAATGCACTTGAACTGTTTGACAACCACAATATCGAGGATTGCATTGCGCTCGGTATCTTGAAACGTGCCTCTCACAATTTTGACTAATCTCAAGTATCATATTCAGTTACATTTTGGTGCAGTTCCAAGATATTTAGGAAATGTTATATAATTCCAGTCAGGAGCGTCGTTAGTGAACACTGTGGATTTTGACTTGTGAGCTGTGTAAAGTAAGTACAAAATTATATAAAAAATATAATTATATACATATTAGTATAAAAAAACTAGTACCATTGTGTTCTGTAATATATTAGAGATAAAAATAGTAAAAAAGAAGGTATTTGACCAGGTTCAACTTCTGTATAGTATGGAATATATTTGTTTTATCGACATTAATTCTCCCTCTGTACTTTTTACACGATGATCTCGAAAGACTGTTATCAAGTTTATAAGGTACTTCACTCACAAACTAAATTAACATCTAATTTGCAAGAGGACCTCTTAAAATATCTAAAAGTGAGTTCCATCAGTAGCACTATCGTCCTAGGACGTAAGTACGTACTTGGGGGCGTGAAATACACTTTGAAATAACATGTAAGCGAGTTCGTGGGAACAGCTGCGAATTATGCCAAGTGTTCATAATTTTGTTTGGCTGACGACGTGGATCGTGGAAACTTTAGAGATCAAATGACTGGCTTTAGTATGCACAAAATGGGTCTAATGATAAAATTTATGCTGAAAATTATCCGCTTGTAAATTAATGTAGTATGCTAATCTTGTTAATGATTGCCGTATTAAAATATACTGCTTTGGGAACTGTGATGTTGTCGTTGAAATTAATTTAGTTTTGTTATTTTATAAAATGATAATTGACGTATAACATAGGCAATTTGAAACGCTAAGGTTACATAGAATTAAGTGTGTAAACCTTGTTTATAGTCACACAATGTAACTAGAAATATCGTCTACACAACATGTTATTTACTCTTTAACAACAACAATAGAAGCACCTGTAATTCTACCTGTATTGCCTTTGCTATTGTCCTCATCGTTTCTATGATGTGCATCAGATACACAATTATGTGGACATGTAGCCATGAATTCAGGTAGTAAATTGATTCCCGGACGTTGATAAAGCCTTTCATTCGCCTATCTATACGCAACATAGATGCATTTGACGAGATTTATTCGAACAAGTAAGAGCTTACGCGGCTCCCCGATAATTCTCTCCGACTGTTTTAGTTCCCCGAATGCATTTGGTGGATAAATAAATCCATCTAACGTTGTTGTTGCGTCCTTCTAATATACTCGTTCTACGCCACAGCAAGACAAAAAATTTGTTGCATTTTTAAGGAATCGTATGGAAAGATGCGACATTTGAACCAGTCTAAACTCTTTTAATTTATGGCAATACTGAGTTCCAAATATAGCTTATGAAACAATGTTGAAAATTCTAAAAATACTTTTGATACAAATGTAAACCAAACGTCAGGAAATTAAAAACACGTCATGCAACGTCACTGGTGTCCGTTTTTAGTCCGTAGTCCGTTTTTAGGCCGTCATCTAAATACGGCGGTCATTTTCTGCTATGTTCAGCCTTCACTCCGGTCCTAACGATGTTTGGTGACGGCTGTCAGTTTTATTTATTGAAAATATTTATTTGGCTTCCAATATCCGCACAGTATTGTAGGGTAAACAAAAGATAAATTGTACCGACAGTTTTTCTAAAACTAAGGCATGAATACTAAATACACAAAAAGACTCTTGTATGGGTGAGCCTTTTGGCAAAGACTTGGCTCAATTCCAAGCTTTTTAGTAATACTCTCAATTTAGAAATCGAAAAATAAAATCGCTCTTTGCCTGATTCGGTTCAGACTTTGTGGTAGTTTCACTGTGTCTCAACCAAAAAGGGAACTTTTGTATAGTAACAAAATATGTAAGTAAATGAAAACTTAGTGTAGAACACACCTGAAAAGCTTAAGATAATAAAGATATCCTTGTAAAAATAAAAGCTAATTGAGGTCCTAAACAAATTGCTTAATTCTGGAGGTCGTTCTCAGCTCCATAATAATGATTATACGATTCTAGGCTTAAATACTCAGAAGCAATTGTGTCTGTTAGTGGGGAATTACACTAGATCATTGTCCGTAGTAATCTTGTTTTACAAATACTTCGACGTTTAATGACAGCTTCGTATCTAAGGTTAACTATGTCGTTGATTAGTACTTACTGTTTACTTCCTTGGTGACATTACTGTTGGTCGGGTTCTGCGAGGTTTAATATTCGGTTCCTAAGCTCTTCCTCAGCTTTAGAATTACTGTTTTTTTTATTTTTAGCAATATTCAATTTAGATGATAATTAAAACCTTGTTAAGTTTGGTGGATTTTATCTTCTAGCAAAAAGTTTCATATCTTTTTTGGTAATTGAAGCACAGAATTCTAGACTCTATTGCAATCTAGTAATCAAACTAGGGCACCGTATTCAGTAAAAACATTTAAAAACAACGAGAGACATAGAATGAGGGAACCTAAATTACATTATTCTTAATTACCTATTTGTCCCTTTTTGGTTGTTATATTCATTTGGATTTTGATCACGTATTCCTTTTCATTACTGTACATTACTGTTAGGCACTAGGTAGTCATAAATAGAGATATAAATTCGAGGAACGGTGGAAAACGTGCAGGTAATAATAGCAGATAAAGTATATGTAATGTGTACTGAAAGGATACTTGACAAGCATACTGTGCATTTTCGTGTATCATGACAAAAAAGTTTTTACTCAGTAAGAGTCTAACGTCTAACATCCTCTCTCACCCAAAGCGGGGGAATCATTGGATGATTTTACCACCACAAAAAAAAATCCATTTCTAATGATTTTCAGATAGATCACAACCAGTATTATCACTAATGATAACATACATGACTAAAACTTAGTTTCCTGCAACTGCTGGAAAAAATATATCACAAAAAACATCTCTAATTTCAACCATTCATTGCAAAGTTTATGTTATTTTTGTCCATAAAAAGTACACAAATATTCATTTAAATAAAATTTTAATTACAATATCTACAAAATGGCTTCTTACATAGTAATATTAAACTAAGCCCCCACTTATAGCTCTACATAAATAATTAAGTCCGCTTTCATATTTCATCTGAAGATTCCTGTTGATAGTCGACATTCCTTCAATCCATTATACCGTGAAACATACCAAAGATGAGTTTGAAACAAGTATTGTAAATTGTTCTCGCGTGAACACTCACGTTCGGTTCAGAATTCATATTGATGTTTTTGCATGACTTAATTGGATAATCGATAACAGGTCACATAATGGAATGTCGTTACATCATCACAAAATAATTTGTTGTTAATTAACTAATTTTCACGATCTGTTAATTTCATTTGTAATGCACCCAATATTTCTAATTACCTATCATCAATCAAACCATTCTAGGTAACAGTAATTAGGTGTTACAAAAATACTGAGCGTCCCACCCACCATCAAATTACAAAAACACTTGGCCTTTTTAACACTAACCAAAAGACTAGAACTCATAAATATATTACAATCCACCTAAAATAACTCACGGGACAGTGACTGGTAAAAACATTTGAGGATCACCTAATTTTGGTTCGAAACGAATGTTTACTTTTGTGTCACCATCACCTACTTCTAAGAAACTGTTCCAGTCAAGCATCCAGTAGAAGCCATTTTTCCTTGGAGGTGGGAGTTCTGAATCTCCGGGAACTGAAGGTGCTGCTCCTCCGAATGAATCTTCCAGATCAGCTATTGAAGCTCCTGAGTCATCTGCAGATACTGACGAATCACTTACAGCATTTGTTTTAGGTTCTTCAGTAGTAGTGCTTGTAGTAGTTTCTGCTGAAGAAGTTTCCACTTTCTCAGTCGTTGTTGTACTTGCTTCTTCTGCCTGTCTTTTACTTTGGTCATTATTTGTGTTCACTTGTTCATTAATTGGATTAATACCCTTATTTAATGGTATCACTTTCACTGCTTCGTAGTCAATGGGTTCGTAATTTGGTACAGGAACTGATTTAGTTTTTCTTACTGGCATGTCATACGGAAGGCTGATTTCTTTTGTTTCAGAAGATGATGTGTCTAATTCATATGGTAATTCCGGACGTAGTGGTTCATACAAGAAATTGTTTGGTGATAAAGAATAAGCCCCATCGTTCTTAGTTGTTGAATCACTGCTGGGTGCTATCAAATCATAAGTAAGTAGAATATTTTCTGGTAATTGTACTGTACCATCTACAACTTTAGGGGGTGGTAGAGGTTTGAAACCTTCAAGAGGTAGTAGAAAATGATCTTGACCTGGTTTCCCTTCTAGGCCGTGAGCATCCAAAAAGGCTTGCAGTTCTTCAGGGAAGTTGTCAATCAGTTTTTCGGGCAGGTAATTATTTGGCTTTGCATTGTTTTGTTTGGTTTGTGATATTTTTGGTCTTGGGGTAGTACTTGGCAATGCAACTACTTCAGTTCTTGGTGGTCTTGTATATAATTCTTGTAATGAAGATCCATCACGTGGTGTGTAGGGTAGAACCACCATCAATGTGGGTTCAGCCTTTTTCGTGGTCGTTTCAACGGTCGTAGGAGGGGATGAAACCTTCTCATTTTTGTTACCATCAACTACTTTTGGATTTAATTTCGGCTCTTGAGGATTTATTTCGTTTTCGATTGTACTGTAAGGCGTTGTCACTGTTTCTTTTTTATTTTCCTTTGATTCTGTCGACGTTGAAGTTGATGTTGATGTTGATTTGGCATCTTCAGCTCTGATATCATTAAGCAGTTGTATTATTTCATTTCTAGTCAATCTTGGTAACAATTGATTTGATTGTAATATATTTTGGACTTGTTTCACAGTTTTTTCTACGTCCAACGCAGCTCCAGATACAGTTGCTAAAACTGCACAAAAGCAGCACCAAAAGAGCTTCATTTTCTGTAACAAAAAGAAAACAAAATGTTATCGAATATCGTTAAAAGTCGTTATTAAAAGGGTCAAGGTTCAGGATAAAAATTATTATTTATTTATTTTTATTTTCAGCCATGATCGTCCCACTGCAGGGCAAAGGCCTCCCTACCCTCCTTCCACTCCTCTCTATGTAAAGCTTTTTGCGGCCAATCCTTGTCATAGATGTCTAGTTCGTCCCGCCATCTCCTTTTGGGCCTGCCGCGACGTCTACTGACGTTGAGTGGGCTCCACTCAGTAGTAAGTTTTGCCCACCGCTCATCTGACATGCGGCAGACATGACCAGCCCAGTTCCACTTCAAGCCTGCGGCTTTATGGCCAACGTCGACGATTTTAGTTGTGGAGCGCAGCGTGGTGTTCCTAATTCTGTCCGATAGTCGGACTCCTAAGATACTGCGCTCCATGGCCCGCTGACAAACCCTGAGTTTGGATTTCTGATGTTTTGTCAAAGACCAAGTTTGAGCGCCATAGGTGAGGATGGGCAGAATGCACACGTCCATGAGTTTCTTTTTGAGCGCTAATGGAAGATTACCTTTCATTAGGTCTTTCATGGACCAATAGCTCTTCCAGGCATTTTCGGTGCGTCTTGCAACTTCTCTATCTTGTCTCGCCTGAAAAGAAACTAGTTGGCCCAGATAGATATATTCTTGGACGTATTCCATTTCCACGCCATCTACCTCTAACCTATATTTTATACTGTTGGTCATTAGTTTGGTCTTCGACATGTTCATCTTCAATCCCACCTCAAGGCTGGCCCTGCTGAGATCGTTGATCATATTGCCTAGCTCGGCTGCTGAAGAAGAGAAGAGAACTATGTCATCGGCGAAACGGAGGTTTGTTAACCTCTTTTCCCCGATGACCACCCCCCTTGTACTCCAGCACGCCGCAAGCTTTTTGAAGACCTCTTCAAGGGTTGCAGTGAAGAGTTTCGGAGATAGCGGGTCGCCTTGTTTGACTCCCTTAGAAATAGGGAAGGATTGGCCGAGTTTGTGGAGTCTAATTGCTGCAGTGCTTTCGCGGTAAATGTTCTGAAGCAAATTGATATAGGTGGGGTAGATGTCTTGGTTGTTCAGTGCTTTGAATATTGATGAATGGGTGAGACTGTCGAAAGCTTTGGAATAATCAATGAATGCTATATATAGAGGGAGATTGAATTCGAAATATTTCTCTATAATCTGGTTCAGAGTATGTAGGTGGTCCGTTGTAGAGAGGCCGCGTCGAAAGCCTGCCTGCTCGGCCGGTTGATGTTGGTCTAATGTGCCAGATATTCTATTTTCTATTACCTTGATGAACACTTTATATAAATGAGATACTAGACTTATTGGTCGATAGTTTGCCAAATCTGACTTGTCGCCTTTCTTGTGTAATAATATAATATTTGAGTGGCAAAAGTTTTTGGGTATTATTCCGGTTTTTAATATGGAGTTAAACAAATTGGTGATATGAGGCAACAGAATTTGTTCTCCTATTTTCAATGATTCTGTGGTAATACCATCTTCTCCCGGGGTTTTGCTGTATTTCATGTTTAGTAAGGCTTGATGGACTTCATAGCCGGTAATAAGTGCGATGTTTTCTGAATATGAATATATATTGTTTGTGTGCTCTTGACTGTTATCGGCAGCATAAAGGGATTTATAATATTCTGTACAAACATTTAAAATATTTTCTTTATCCGTCTGTTTTACTCCGGAATTGTCTTTGAGGTTGCTTATTGTTACTTTTCCAATTTCTGTGCCTCTAATTGCGGTTCTAAGGGACTGGTTTTTCTCCAGAGTGGTTTTTATAAGTTGTGTGTTGTAATTACGAATATCTGTGCGGATTTTTCTTTTAACTTCTCTATCTATCGCCTTATATTCTGGGGTATGGATGTTTAGTTTTTGGCGGTCATCGATTATTTTTAGTGTGGAAGGACTCAATTTTTTCGTTCTATATTTAGCTATTTTGATGTTGTGGCTTGCAGTTTTTATGCATTTTGAAATATTTCTATATTGTACTTCCACGTCTTCTGTATCTAAATTAAGAGTTTGAAAACTGTTCTTCAGTTCTAAAATAAAACGTTCTTTATTTGCAATCAATGTCAATTTATCTATTCTTTTAATAGAATTTTTAATCATACGTGCCCGTTGTATCTTCTGGTTAAGTTTTACTGTAATCCTTAGAGGTCGGTGATCAGAACTAAATTTGAAATTACTGAGTACCTCGACATTAGTTATTATTTGTTTAGTGGAGGAAAGGCTGAAGTCTATTTCGTTTCTAGTGGAACCATCTGGAGAAAACCAAGTCCAGCGACGTTGTGGTTTTTTGTAAAAGAATGTATTGTTGATATTAAAATTTTGATTTGAAGCAAACTGGATTAGGCGTTTACCGCGTTCGTTTCTAGTACCTATACCATGTGGTCCCAGGATACTTTGGTTGTCAGAGGGTAGCCTTGAACCGATTTTTGCATTAAAGTCGCCTACAACCATCATCCAAGTACCCTTATGTTCGTCACATGCTCGGTTGAGGAGGTCATAAAACTCCTCAATTTCATCGTCAGTGTGGGTTGATGTTGGTGCGTATACTTGGATAATGATGAGGGTCTTTTTCTGATCTATTCTAAATTTGAGTAAGGCTATACGATCTGAATATGAAACCAATTCTGCAACGTGATTTTTCCACTTTTTATTTATCAAAAATCCCACCCCATATTGACTGCTGCTCTCTCCCATATGATAAAATATGCAGCCCTCTCGCTCTATAATCTTTTCGCCTTCTCTTCTCACCTCTGATAGACCTATGATGTCCCATTTTATATTTGATAGTGAATTTTCTAATTCGATAAGCCTTTCTTCGGTGCGAAGAGTTCTGACATTGAATGTTAATAGTTTTAGTCTATCGGTATCCATATGATTAGCCAAAGTCGTTCGACAGTTAAGAGTTCTCACCCGGGGATTGTATGCGCCCCTTGCTCCAGAGTGATTCAGCCTACTGTCATCGGCGTCGTCACTTCTGGAGACGCCGGGGACTTGGGGCCAATTATTTGTTGTGAGATTCATGTTATTTGGGTAGGGGGTTTAGACAGTTAACCTACCACGCTTGTCTAATGCGGGTTGGTAGGTATGCAGTAAGCCATCTAACTAGGCCTGTGGATGCCGCCGTTGGTACACTAGGTACTCCTCCGCCGCCATCCTAAATTGACATCCTACATTGATGTCAATTGTTCTGCTTTAGCCTCGTGTAAACAGTTTTGTTTTTGAGCCTAAAGCAGCTTATTGCTGTAAGGTCGGGGACTGCTAACGCAGCGAACGATGATATCTCATCGTCGATCCATTATCCGCCACCTATGGACCCCGGTAGTAGTCTACAGCTCAACCCTACCTAGGATAAAAATTGAGAGAAACATTTAAGAGATCAAATATCGGTATTAACTTTGACAGTTGATAGGTCATGGCTTTTGCTGTGAAAAAAAAACGACAGGACAGCCATTACGAGCTCCAATTACGACCGAGCTCAACTGACTTATAGATTATTTTTACTGTTTATATTTTTTTATCCCCAGACCAAACTCAGCGTAAAATAAAAAAGTTTCTTCAATATTTTTCACACATTTGCTCAGTTTGAAGTTCCTATCTATACCATCGGTAAAGTTCAAGTAAAACTGTACATAGCCCACGATAAGAAACGACAATAAAAAATCATAAAATACAGACAACATTCATAACAAATCGCATATAGTATAAAGTTAACAAGAGATCGTTACAAATACAGATAAATCGTACTCTATAAATCTCTAAAATCAACCGGCAAAACGAACTAAATATTCATAGTAAAAGTCTGTCTAATCCAAATAAAATAAACGGGACTGTATAAGCTAAGCAGAGTTGGAGTTATCTCTGTAATTACAGTTTGAGTAACATAGCCGTACCATAATCGTAATTCCCAAAGTTGGGAAGGAGGCCAGGATATCGGGAAGTTGTTATCGTTTCAAAAGTTTTGGCTTTCGGATCACTTATAAGACGCTCCACTCACATCTGCGTTGTAAAAGAAAAATGTTATGATCTTTATAAGTAATGTTCGGATAAACTGCGCGTTAATGTATCAAATGGGCTTATGGCTCGTTCTTTGAAACTTTTATTGCTCTATTTCGTATTTATTAATTACTTCTGCCTCAGTGGGGGCATTATTTAACGATGTCATTTCTTAATGGGCTCATTCTTAAGCATGTCTCGTTAGGTGAATATCAATGGAATTTTTGCAACAAGATGGATGTTACTAGAAGGCCCTTTGTATCAAGGTCGATATAATTGTATAATTCAGTCAAATATGTTTCTGGTATTCTTAATCTGCGTTAAAACAAAAATGTTTAATTTCCATTCCTAAACCATTCCTTTTATTTGAAGTGTTCCATGCCTTTTTTAAAAGAAAACTTTTGAACAAAGTTTAGATCTCCTGATACAATCCCCTTAAGTTGAAATCGCAGTCCCAAATGATATTCAGAGATTGCTCGTTGAGATATAAGATCGTCAAGAGCACGATTGTGCAAATCGGAATCTAGTCTTAATAGGCTTAAAGTATGTAAAGTATTTTTGTTATATTCTTTGGTAAGTTGAGTGAAATCAGATTTTCATATGTAATTATTGTATTGGCTTTTCAATTTACTGATACGCATGCTTTTCAATGTAATACCTTTTTTGAAACAAATTGCTTCTAATCTTCATAGCTTTTTAGTATTCGGGCTATAGTCAACTTTTAATTTTTTTTGGTAGGAGTTAAGGAGACTTATATTTATATTATTTATCATAATTATAGATATTGTACTATGTAGATGGTAATTTTTCAATCTTTCTTAAACAAGGTCTTAATTTGAATAATTCGTATCCCCCTCTCCAGTAGTCCCAATCCCAAAATCCTCCACAATCCTCGAATTCCCAAAAGGCCGGTAACGCACTTGTAACGCCTTGGTGTTTCAGGTGTCAAGGGGCGGCGCCGAT